TTGCATACTGATTTTAATAATAACAGGAATAAAGCATGTGTTTTAAAAAATGATAGGATGTGTGAAACACAAAACACTAGTTCAAAATGTGTTTACAAAACGGACCCAGTGGGCCGGGCGCGGTGGCTCACGCCTGTCATCCCAGCACTGTGGGAGGCCGAGGCGGGCGGATCACGAGGTCAGGAGATCGAGACCAGCCTGGCTAACACGGTGAAACCCCGTCTCTACTAAAAATACAAAAAGTTAGCCGGGCGTGGTGGCGGCGCCTGTGGCTACTCCTGAGGCTGAGTCAGGAGAATGGCGTAAATCCGGGAGGGGAGCTTGCAGTGAGGCGAAATGGCGCCACCGCACTCCATCCAGCCTGGGCAACAGAGCGAGACTCCGTCCCCCCCAAAAAAGATAACGGACCCAGTCAGCTCCAGGTGAGTAACGGTTTTATTCACAGAGGTTGCCTGTGGGCAAAACTGGAAGATGCCAGCCTGGCAGGTGTGTGGTTATGGTCGGAAGGCATTATTATACGAGCATAAACATTAGCTTCATTGTGTTGTATGATACTCAGTGTGCTGGTTGGAGGCTTCAACAAAGTAAGGAGAGGTGCTAAGATTGGAAGTGGGAAAAGAAAGGCTCAGAATCTGTCTTTAGGAAGTGCACAGGGTCTGCCTGTGTTTATTAGGGTGCGCTACAGGGTCCCCCAGGCCTCCCTGCCTCCAGCAACCAAGAGGCCAACCTGAATCAGTTTCCCCCGGAAGCAGAGTGCCTTCTAGGAGAAGTCCCTCTGTCTTTTCTATGATTGAAGGGCTCCTCTGCCCCCTCAAATCACCTCCTTTAAATAATAAGGCGCCAAATCCTTCTAACAAAACTTTTTGTTTCACGAACATTCGTAAAACGTAAAAAGTACAAGTTCTGATGGAGGCAACACACTGAAAGTCACTCTGCTGAAAGTACAACCAGAACCCCCCTTGGGTCCTTGCCTGGCTGCATTGGAATTGCCTGTAGGCACCACAGCTATGTCTGTTCCTGGCATGTAAGCTTCTCCACGTAGCCTGGGCAACATAGCAAAACCAGGAGACCACAGCAAAACCTACAAATTAAAAAAAAAAAGAAAAAAAACCCATATATATATATAAAACCAGGTGTGATGGTATGTGCCTGTAGTCTCAGCTACTCAGAAGGCTGAAGCAGGAGGATCCCTTGTGCCTAGGAGTGCAAGGTTTCAGTGATCTGTGATTGTGCCACTGTGCTGCAGCCGGGGTGACAAAGCAAGATGCTGTCTCTAAAATAAATAAATACATACATACGTACATACACATATAAATATCTTGATCCTCTTTGCTTATGCTGAAATTTACCATGTGAACAAATAGTAGTAGTGTGTTCTAATTCCTAATACTTTAAATGTACACCTGCACTCAGGCATTATGTTATCACCACCAAAAGCACATCTTTTATTGTTTTTCTTTATTTCTTGTGACTCTTACTCTTTAGCAACTCCCATTCTCTGTTCCCAGTTTGGTAAGAGACTAAGTCTATAAGAGCTTCCACTAAAAATCCCAAAGGCTCGCTTTCCACCCTACTCTCATTTCTACATGGCCCTGTTCCCACCAGCATCCAAGACCCCATCCACGATTGAAAGCAGAGTTTCTTCTCATCTCCTAGATGCCTCGTCCATTCTCCTGCTGGAAGAAAGCCACTAAGTACTGGGTTGGGCGGGTGGACACGTGTTCTGCTGAGCACCATTCTCTCCCCTGCCTGTGTAAGTGATACCGGGATCTTGTGACCTCAGGCAGCTCATGCTCCTGAGGGCATCTGAGGCCTCTCTTTTCTGAGAAAGTCCATGGAGGCAGAGGACAGTGTATGAGTTTCCATGAAAAACCTCTTGTCAAGGATTCCAGCTATGACTCCTTCTATAGAACAGGGTAACTGGAGAGTAGCTAAGGAGAAATATATCTCCCATTTAGAAAACATCAAAAACTCTGATTGGTAAAATTAAGTGTAACAAAGATGATAATACTTCCTGAATTAGTATGTTAATTAAGATTTAATTTAATTTAAATGTCTAATATCTTCCCGTGATGTTTAAATAATTGAACAACTTGATAGTAAAAATTAATCCAGACATATAAGCAGATAAAACTTTATTTTTTAAGTGATTGTAGAATCATATATCAGCTTATTTTTTAAAAATGAAGATCAAATAAATATGTCATAGTGTGGATATTTCATAAATTAAAGCTATTATGACAACTTAATATATGACAAACTAGACTTAGTAATATAAGACAAATAATGGAGGGAAGAAAATATCTGCTTAAGAATTAGTATTGGGATACCCACGCATGATATGGAGAAAAGTGAAATTAGACCTATACCTCCATACAATATAAAACATGGTGTTAGACATTTTAAAAATAGCTACCCAAAGTAGAAGAAAAAAACTGATATATGTACTAGAGTAAATAGACTGCTATATCTAGAAAAGAGATACATTTACATCAGAACATGAAGTATATCATCATACTATAAATCTGTTCATAACACTAATAGAACGATATAATAAATACCAAAAGGAAAACAACAAAATGAAAAACATTCAACACATATTTAGTGCCCCAAATATATAAAGAATTGTTGTTAATATAAATACTCTGCTTCCACTCCAGCAGTAGTCAATGAAGATTAAAAGTTTACACAAAAGGGAAACTTTGTCAAACTGTCAGATTCAATTGAATCATATGGAATATATACAGCTTCATAGTAATTAAATACAAATTCAAACTCATAAATAACTCACAAATAACTCTGTTTTTTGAAAGCCCGTGTTGGAGGAGAGTGTGAGAGAAAGCCCATCTGAAGAGCAATTTGTCAACATGTAGCAAAAGCTACAAAACTTTAAAAATCTTAATCTATCCATTCCATTTGGGAAATATATGAGAAGAAAAAACTTAGAGGAGAAAATGAAGTTTGTGCAAGTTTCAATATAACAGCATTACTTTTCTTTTCTTTTTTTTTTTTTTTGAGTGAGAGTCTTTCTCTGTCGCCCAGGCTGAAGTGCAGTGGAGTGATCTCAGATCACTATGACCTCTGCCTCTCAGGTTCAAGCGATTCTCGTGCCTCAGCCTCCTGAACTGCTGGGATTCCAGGCATGAGCCACCACGTCCGGCTAATTTTTGTATTTTTAGTAGAGATAGGGTTTTGCCATGTTGGCCAGGCTGTTCTTGAACTACTGACCTAGGTAATCTGCCAGCCTCAGCCTCCCAAAATACTGGGATTTCAGGCATGAGCCACCACACCCGGCCTATTTTTCATAATAAAAATAAGACACAATTCTAATGTACAATTAAAAGGAAAATGGAGGTTTAAAAGCAACTCTATATTACAGGATGGGATACAGTGCGCTATTATAATTAAAAAGGATTACTGTGTGGATTATGCTGATCCATGGAAATCTGTAAGTGAAGTTGTGATAAAGTGGAGCAAGTGATGAATACACTGAACTCTAAGGTCTTTGGAGATGGGCCATGTCTACTTATACTCAATCCGCAGGGCTACACTTGGTTCTTGGGACACAGTGAATGCTCAACAAGAGTCTGTTGAATGAACACATACATGGTTTATCTGTTTGTCTCTTCCGAGGTCTTGACTTTCTGTCTGCTCTGACCTCAGGCAACTTTGCACTAGTTCCTAGCTTTCATTCTGCTTACCTGGATTGCGGAACTCTAGCCTGCCCCACTCTTAGAAAAACGCTTGCCCTCTGTGGCCCTGGAACCGGAGTGACTTCTGCTATACCAAAGTCTCCAGGCCCAGGTGACACACAGCTGCAGCTCCATAAACCTCTAACATGATGTCAGCAAACATAATAAAGAAAAAAGCTTATAAAAACAATAAACTTCGTTAAAGGTACAAATGAAAATTAGCAAACATGGGAAGATCATTGAGTAAAGAGTTTAAAGTTAAAAACAAATTGCAGTCATTCTAGGGGAAGGAACAGTTGTATTTGAAAAGCTGTATGGTTACATGAACTGCCTAAAAAACAAGCTAAGGAAAATAAAAGCTCAAATTTATATATTTTAAGAAATTAATTGCAATCAATTTCCTGGGATTAAATAGCATTTCCTCAACCCCAGCTGCCATTAAAAAGAGGCAAATACAGCTAAGGACTGGATCTTCTCTGGAAGACTGACAGCACTGACCCTCAAGAAGGCACCAGCTGACTGAGAACATTCTGCCCTGATATGTGCTGAAATTCCGCTGAGAGCAGAGTGGTACGTTAAACCCTTTAGGGGCTTACAAAAGAAGTGACCTGTGTTTTAGAGTCAGAGTTTTGCCAAAACAAGTATGAATTCACCTAGTCCCCCCTGCACCAGGCCTTTCCTGTGGGCACTGAGTGCCAGACACATCAATATGTAACAGCAGAATGAATGATGGAACGAACGATTGAATGAAATGAAGTGAGAGGCAGCAGTTTGTCAGATTCTATGAGGCAATCACAGCATCGAGTGACCACAGTATCTGAGAGGATTGCCATTTATTCTCTCCGGAGCGCACGGCTCTAAGGAAGCCCATATCCAGGCAGTGAGTTCTGGTGGGGGGCGCCTTTAGATGCAAGAAGGAGGAAACGGCTCGAAATCCCTGGGCCTGAGGGCGGCCCGTGCAGGCCGGAGGGTCAAGAACGCTCCGCTGGAGGCAGCCGCCCGGTGTCTGCCCCGGCTTCAACCCGGCCTAAGGCTGCTTGTGCTATAAATACGCGGCCCACATGCCGCGGTGACACGGTGTTCCTTGGGCTCGGCGGGACAGATAACATGAATGTGCCCTTTAAATGTCCCAAGTTGCAGGGACAGCCCCCGGCCCAGCCCCGCTCCCGGAAACGCCTTCGCCCCCGATGCCCTCTGAAGCGGGAGGAGGGGGCGCCGCGTACATGGCCAGCCAATGCGCGGCGCGCGCGCCGGCCGCGACCCGCCTCCTCTCGCGAGAGCCCGGCGCGGATATAAGGGGGGGCTGCGGGCGAGGCGGCGGCCCCTTTGCGTCGCGCAGGGTCGGGGACTGCGCGGCGGTGCCAGGCCGGGCGTGGGCGAGAGCGCGAGCGGGCTGCCCGCGGGCTGAGTGCGTCGAGCTGTCACCATGGGTGATCACGCTTGGAGCTTCCTAAAGGACTTCCTGGCTGGTGGTGTCGCCGCTGCAGTCTCCAAGACCGCGGTCGCCCCCATCGAGAGGGTCAAACTGCTGCTGCAGGTGAGGACGGCGCGGTGCAAGGGGTGGCGCGGGCGCGGTGCGAGGCGCGGGCGCTGGCGAGGTGGGCCGGGCGGGGCGCGCGATGCGGCGCGAGCTGCAGGGTGCGGGGCGCCGCGGAAAATCTGCGCCAGGCCACAGGCCCGGGCGCCCGCCCGCTTGTGGGGGAAGAAGGTGCCCTCTGCGTAGAGACAGGTCCAGCGTCAGTCGCAGATTCCTGGTGTCGGGTGGCGCCCGGCGTTCGGGTGTCTATATATGGAAACCCACCCGGAGCCGGTTTACGTGTGCCAGATCCTGCGCCCGTGACAGCCCGGGCGTGCACTCAGGCCTGGAGGCACCTAGTGATTGCCAGTATTTTTGGCACCGTCTTATGCGCACGCACCTTTACAATGAAAACACCAAAATAATCATCACGCAGGAATTCCCTTATCGTATCTCACGCACAGTGCTGTATGCAGGCTGACGCCTTCATCTTTATGTAACCTCTGTGAGAGAGTTTTTCTTCTCCATTTTACAGATGAAGCTGAGGTTTTGAAATGTTAAGAAACAATTTTCGGAATAAACTCAGATCATCCTGTCTCCAAATCTTTTCCTCCCCTACCTGGTCGCTGAATGGCTTATCATCATCCTCCTGTTTTTCTCCACCTGCCCAAAAGGTCAGGGCCCCTCAATGAGGAAGAGCCCAATTTGGGAGTCAAAATTGCTAACAAACCCCCCCACAAATTGTTCACAAAGGCAGCGAACCCTCAATAATTGATTACTTGGATTGTCTGCTTGAAAACTTTGGAGCCCTAATGCTTAGTGGATTTATTCTCCTTCCTCTATTAGAGCATCTACTAGAGATCCTCATCTCCAGGGTGATCAGAGTGACACTGAGAAATTGTCATTTTTTGGCCATCATGTCTATTAAATCCAAAGCCCTTTGAAGCAGGGAGTGTTACTCATTCTGTCCCCCAGTAAGCCCCTCATACAGTTCTCAGACCTAGGGAAAGTGAAATAGATAAATGGCTAGCTTTATACAATTCAGTCACCTCTTCAGTTTATTTGGGGCAACACCTTTTCCCTCAAATACCCTAATAATTGAAGCCACATTGGATTATTTTGGCTTGTTATCTAGTAACTAACATGGATAACAGTATCCATTTACATGTCCTCAGTATCCATTTGATTTCCTCATCCTTTTTTTCTTCAAAAAAAAAAAAAAATCTAGGAAGTGCAAACCTTCTTTTTTCTCCTGTCCTCTTCCCCTGTCCCTGCCCTGCCTGTCCTCTATCACCCACCCTCCCCTCCACCAGGTCCAGCATGCCAGCAAACAGATCAGTGCTGAGAAGCAGTACAAAGGGATCATTGATTGTGTGGTGAGAATCCCCAAGGAGCAGGGCTTTCTCTCCTTCTGGAGGGGTAACCTGGCCAACGTGATCCGTTACTTCCCCACCCAAGCTCTCAACTTCGCCTTCAAGGACAAGTACAAGCAGCTCTTCTTAGGGGGTGTGGATCGGCATAAGCAGTTCTGGCGCTACTTTGCTGGTAACCTGGCATCTGGTGGGGCCGCTGGGGCCACCTCCCTTTGCTTTGTCTACCCGCTGGACTTTGCTAGGACCAGGTTGGCTGCCGACGTGGGCAAGGGTGCCGCCCAGCGTGAGTTCCATGGTCTGGGCGACTGTATCATCAAGATCTTCAAGTCTGATGGCCTGAGGGGTCTCTACCAAGGTTTCAACGTCTCTGTCCAAGGCATCATTATCTACAGAGCTGCCTACTTCGGAGTCTATGATACTGCCAAGGGTGAGAGAGGGGCATCAGGGGAGAAGGAGGGCGGTGTGGATAGAGGATCCTACGGGATCTGTAACTCACAAAGGACTTGATATATATCCATCTGGTTTTTTTCTAGTCTCTGGGATAATTGAGGCTTCTGAATGAGGAGGTGGTGTGCATAAATTAATAGCTAAAGCAGTCTTCGTGTCCTCTACTGAAATACACTGTGGCCTTTAGTTATTAAGAGAGGAGGAAGGGGGAGCCTGTCTCCCTCTAGACACAGCCATAGCAGTTACTGAGTTTAACTTGAAGCCACTTCCAGTGCCCTGCATATGAGCAGAGCACTGGCTCCCCGGGGTCCAGAGACGGCAGCAGCCACCTTTGCTGGCCGCCTGCTCATACGTGAGGCACCTGCACAGGGGCAGGTTCCCCGCAAGGTCAGAGCGTGCAGCTGGAGGTGCGGTGGCCTCTCTCCCTCCACCTGCTTTCTGCTGAGAACAGTCGCTTCATAGCCGTTTGGCTTCTTGGCTCTGTCCACAGGGATGCTGCCTGACCCCAAGAACGTGCACATTTTTGTGAGCTGGATGATTGCCCAGAGTGTGACGGCAGTCGCAGGGCTGGTGTCCTACCCCTTCGACACTGTTCGTCGTAGGATGATGATGCAGTCCGGCCGGAAAGGGGGTAAGCTGGTGCTCTACTCATCTAAACCTCTTTATTTTTGCCCGAGGAGAACGTTTTACAGTGTTCCTTTCAGTCTTCCTGACTGGAAATTAATTTTCAAAATTATTTGATAAGGACTTAGGGAAGAAAGATTGTATTAATTTCCCCCTAATAGGATAGTTGACATTCTCAACTATCCTATTAGGGAAAAGTTTTTTCCATTTTATTAAAGAGATGGTAAGAACATCAACAGAAAGATACTTAGATGTGAATTTAACTAGGTATCTAGCGTTGTAGAGACCCTAGGCCCTCTTCCCTATGAGCCTGGGTGCAACAGCTGGGGAGAAGTAGTAGCTGCTGCTTACGGAGAACTCTCGCTTCCCTCTGACTTACAGGTGTTAGTGGGATGGGGTGTTTGGCTGGGTAGAGATGGCCTGAAGCAATCTGTTGTGCCGTAAAAAGTTTTGGCTTCTATAGGGTGAACCATATGAAATTGCCACTTTAAAAATCAAACAGTCCAATGTTAGCAGTTTCATATGTTTCAACTCGTTACAGCCTTTTATTTTAACTGCATAACCTTGTGCAGTATCATCTGACGCTAGGCCGCAGTTTGGTCCTCCATGAAACAAGGTAACCACGTAGCGTGATACTCCTGCTGCTCTGCGCCCTTCTTGTTTCACAGTCGGGCAGTCTGTGAATTACTTGGTTAATTGCCCCAGTTCTTCACTGACCTTGAACTAATGGAGTAGGAATGACAGGAGGCCCAGCCTGCCAGTTAAGCAAGGAAGGACATGTCCAGTGGAATGTTGCATGGAGCTGGGACTCCATGCCCAGATGACCCTGATTTTATACAGCTGGTAACAGTGTGTGCAGGTATCTTTCAGAGGAAAGGTCTCTTTCCCCCAGCGTTATGGAGCCCTCACCGTTTGTTTCCACAGCTGATATTATGTACACGGGGACAGTTGACTGCTGGAGGAAGATTGCAAAAGATGAAGGAGCCAAGGCCTTCTTCAAAGGTGCCTGGTCCAATGTGTTGAGAGGCATGGGTGGTGCTTTTGTATTGGTGTTGTATGATGAGATCAAAAAGTATGTCTAATGTAATTAAAACACAAGTTCACTGATTTACAGTGACCTTGATCCACAAGTTCACAGATCCATTGTGTGGTTTAATAGACTATTCCTAGGGGAAGTAAAAAGATCTGGGATAAAACCAGACTGAAAGGAATGCCTCAGAAAAGATGCTTCATTGAGTGTTCATTAAACCACAGATGTATTTTGTATTTATTTTACATTTAAATTTCCACAGCAAATAGAAAATAATTTATCATACTTGTACAATTAACTGAAGAAGTGATAAGAAATAACTGAATGTGAAACATCAATAAAGACCACTTAATGCACGTTTTCTATTTTATTGAACTCTTATTAACTGTAAAATGCGTTTTTAAAAGATCAAAAATGTATATTTTCTAGCATGATTCATTTATCAGTCAGTGGCCAAGCTTCTAAATGCCAGATATTATATTGAGTATGTATTATATGAGAACATACAATGCTTAAAGTTCCATTTTTCAAACTCAGGCAGGTCATATTCTATCTTACCCAGTGTTGCTGTAGGCTAGAAAGTGACAATGGCTTTTGTAATCCTGCCTTGTTTTAGGCACTTTCCTGCAGTCTTTAGAAATTCTGAGATTCTGCTAAAAGCTTTAAGTCACAGTCTGGAGAATTTTCTATGATTAGGAAATGCTCTGTTTTCATCCCTTTAGATAACTGTGACACCTAGAATTTTATGATAAGTGGAGAGTGTTCATTGAAAGTCAAGGCCAGGTGCGGTGGCTCACACCTGTCATCCCAGCACTTTGGGAGGCAGAGGCAGGCTTATCACTTCAGACCAGGAGTTCAAGACCAGCCTGGCCAATGCAGCGAAACCCCATCTCTAATAAAAATACAAAAAATTAGCTAGATGTGGTGGTGCACACCTTTAATCCCAACTACTCGGGAGGCTGAGGCACCGGAATCGCTTGAACCTGAGAGACAGAGGTCACTGTGAGCTGAGATGGCCACCACATCCATCCTAAGCAACAGGGCAAGACCCTGTCTCAAAAAAAAAAAAATCAATTGTCTTAGTTCAGGCCACTATAACAAAGTACTGTAGACTGATGGCCTATAAGCAACAGAAACTTAGTTCTGTAGACCGGAGGTCCAAGATCAAAGTGCCTCTTTGGTCAGGTTCTAATGAGGGCCCTCTTCTGGGTTGTGGATTACTGACTTCTTGTATCCTTACATGACAGAAAGAGCGACAGAGCTCTCTCTAGTCCCTTTTATAATCTCACTAATCCCATTCATGAGGGCTCTACCCGCATGACCCAGTTACCTCCCAAATGCCTTTCCTCCAAACACCACCACTTTGGGGGTTAAGATTTCAACAGATGAATTTTGAAGGGACACATTCAGTCCATAGCAGCAGTTATCAAGCTAGTATTTAATACCTCTTAGGCCCCGTGGAAGGGAGAAAAGATAGGAGGGGAGAAAAGGTGAGATGCCATTGTTAGATAATTTAAGACAGTACATCTTGCTTGAGAAGGAATAGAAAGGAAATGAAATCGGGGGAGAGAGTGGTGGGAGATGGAGACTTTGAAAGAAAATAACTAGATTTAGAAGCATGGGTGTGGAAAGCATCCTTCAGTACTTCTGTAAGAATTTATCAAGACCTACAGGAAGTCAGTTTTGCATTTGCCCCTCCGAGATTTGTGAGCCAGGGGAAAATACTTAGAATTTCAGGTTGGAAAGTTCACACTTTGGGACCAGGAAAAGACCAAACAGTTGCTCTAGTCTCCTGGATTGTGACTAATTGGAAGACCTGTTGGGATTACAGGTGTGCACCACCGCACAGCTAATTTTTTGTATTTTTATTAGAGATGGGGTTTCACTGCGTTGGCCAGGCTGGTCTTGAACTCCTGGTCTGAACTCACTCATTGTGATAAGTCCCTGTATCCTTGGCAAAGCTTGAAAGGCAGGCAAATGTCTTCTCGGTGTTTTCTAACGGGTGGTTGGGTGGTGGGGGTTGGTCTCTGTTCTTTACCTTGCTTACCAAGCCCTTCCACGAACTCACTCCTGCCTCCCCAGCTAAAAATTAGCTGTGTTGCTTTTACCACAGTTACCAAGGTCTGAGTTTTATAAAATCCAGGATCACATCTGACCTTACCTAGTAGATATCTAGGCCAATAGAGTCTAAAGGGCTAAAAAGAAGGTACCTCTCCATCCTGTGTCCTAGAGGTGAGGTAGCACATGTGCAGTTAGAGGCCTCCTGGATCCATTGTCCTCCTGTTGCTTTTCATTCTAAGGATAATATGAGGATCCAAATCCTGTCGCTGATAGGGAATAAAAGCAGGGCAGGCTAGTAGGCAAGTACTTTCATGGAGTGTATCTCAAAGCAGGGCCCAAGTTTAGGAGGAGGGAGACCTGACACAATGAATGAACAGTGCATGCTCCCAACCCAACCAAGAAACATAATTGTGTTCTGGTCTTTAATCTTGGCATGGAAGGGGGAGGGAAGAGGCATGAACATTTATTAAGTAGTGCACATTGTCCACATTCTGCATGTGACCCAGATGTCGGCCCTCCCACTTCCTGCTGAGGTTATCTCTAATGAACGTTACCCCAGGCCCTGCTGAGCCAGTTCCTTACCGAGGCCACTTAACTCACCAGGAATTCCTAGAACCCTCAGCCTCTGACAGAGTGCTGGGATCTGGCAGGAGAACAGGCAGTACTTCCCTCACTAACCTACCCTCATGCCATACCATCACTGTGCAAAGCTGTGTCATGCTGGAAGGTCTGGTTTACGTAAAAGTGGCAACCTCGAATTGAGCATCCGACTCTTGGGTACCCGCCCCAGGAATTTCTCATCAGCCCTGTTTCCCACACAGCTCTCTCCTAGGCGCAGCCCTCCCTCACCGCCACCACCCCCTGCCCCAATCATTTTTAGGTATTTTCTCCCCTAAAGCCTCACCTATTGGCATCTTATATCTTTTTAAGACCTTATTTTAAATGTATGAGAAAAATTATGGAGGATGATACAACATGAGTGAGTCCATAACGGTAACAATTGGACACTAAAAACAGTAAAAACTTGTCTCAAGTATTTGTGTTGAAATCTCAATTAACTGAGCGACTGCTTCCGTTCCATTTTATTCTGTAAAATATGTGGTATCCCTTGTGTTGAGGTGGCATTTACTAAACACCCACAAGGTGCAAGGCTGCAAGAGAATGCAAGCACTGCAAGAAGGACTTATCTTCTACACCTGTGATAATGCCCAGGCTGGAGAAGGTGTGTAGCAAGTTTCTGTTGGATGTAAGAAGGAGCGAGAAGGGAAGGTGCATCTAAAAAGCACAGGGAACCTACAAAATACTTGGGAGAGGGTTTCATCAGTTCGGGTGAAATCCTGAACATGCAAAGCACCGTGGGGGTGGCCAGACAGGCTTGTTGGAGTTGTATAATGCAATGAATAAAAACTTACGGCTGCCTTAAATACAAATTTCAAGCCCTTAAATAAAATTGAACAAAGTCTACCGTGTCATAAAGATTCTTTGCTTTTCTGCTCCTCCTGAATAGCAGTAATTTTATTAATCCACAATAAAGTATAGTTGATCTCATTCACAGATTACATATCTGTAAACTGGCTTCACTGACAAACTTTATTTGTAACCACTTTAAGGTCCTTGGACACACAGCGATGTTGCCTGACACACATGTCCCCAGCTGGAGTGGAACAAGGTGACACTTACCCGGCCTTTTCATTTCAGCCTCATCCTGTAAACAAGCATCCTGTTCACGTGTTTACTTCATGCTACAGTAATTCTGCTGTTTAAAAAGGCCCCCAAGCTTTGTGCAGTGGCCAATGTGGTTTATCTGAGGCACAATCATTGCCAATTAACCCCCAAGCAGAGTGCACAAGTGCTGTTCCTCAGCACAGGAGGGCTAAAACATGCCTTGTGGAAAATGCATGTGTCAGAATAGCTGGCTTCGGGCCTGGGCCATGAGCTCAGTGTTAACCATCAGCAATATATATTAAATAAGGTGTCTTTAAGTGTAAATACATAAAACAAGGTTATGTATGATTTTTGTGACCAGCGGCTCATGGGAACCTAACCTTGTATTTCCGCTTGGCAAAATGTTTCAGTGTTTGCCTCAACTTTGTAGTATGTAACTCCTGTGAATAATGGGAATCAGCTGTCTTACCATTTTTGAAGTCATAAACATTGTAGAAAGATCACCAGCCAGGCATGGTGACTTGTCCATAATCCCAGCACTCTGGGAGGCCGAGGTGGGAGGATCACTTGAGCCCAGAAGCCCGAGACCAGCCTGGGCAACATAAGGAGACCTTGTCTCTACAAAAAATAAAAGATTAGGTGGGTGTGGTGATACATGCCTGTAGTCTTAGCTACTCAAGAGGCTGAGGAGGGAGGCTGCAGTGAGCTCTGATCGTACCACTGATTTCCAGCCTGGGAGACAGGGTCAGATCCGTCCCTAAACAACAACAAAATGCCTCTAACATGCCTCACATCAAACATCTCGTGTGTGACTTTTGTGTGTTCTACATAGTCATTTTAATTTTCGTAGCCCTTTAAGGATTAGATGAGTTTAGTTTTGCCATTTTTGCAGTCACTGATGAATCACACATATTGAGTGACACCCATGTATGGCTTCCTGTCAGCCTGAATGCCATAACCAATGCAAAAGCTTCATATGGTCCTTGCTCTCAGGGGCTTTCTTTTATTAGGCAAGTAAAACAGACTAAAAATATGTGAGACGTGACTTAAGTAACACACCACATAACATATAATCTTAAGTCAGTGTTTCCTCAGCTTTTTCTAGCTAAAAGCTTATTTTAGTAACCCAAATGTGATGTGATGAAGGCATGGATTAGAATGATGGCAATGAAAATGAGTAATGTGTTTTGAAGAACAGAAAGGACATGATACAGACATTGAAGAAAAAGGTTAATCAGGCCAGGCACGGTGGCATACGCCTATAATCCCAGCACTTCGGGAGGCCGAGGTGGGCGGATCACGAGGTCAGGGGTTCGAGACCATCCTGGCCAACATGGTGAAACCCCATCTCTACAGTAAAAATACAAAAATTAGCTAGGCGTGGTGGTATGCACCTGTAGTCCCAGCAACTCGGGAGGCTGAGGCAGGGGAATCGCTTGAAACTGGGAGATGGAGGTTGCAGTGAGCTGAGAGTACACCACTGCACTCCGGCCTGGTGACAAAGCAAGACTCCGTCTAAAGAAGAAGAAAAAAAAATGTTTATCAGTGAGAATGCCAAGGTTTTATGCCTTCATGTTTGAGGGAAAAATAACAATATGTTCATTGCACCTGGGAAAAACAATTTTCATTCTTGATCCCTAATCCAAAAATCTGAAAACCAAAATGGTCTAAAATCCAAAACTTTTCGAGCACTGACATAGTGCCACAGATAGAAAATTCCACACTTGACCTTGTGATGGGTCACAGTCAAAACTTTGTCATGCATGCAATTATTAAAAATACTGTATTAATGACCTTCAGGCTATGTGTGTACTGTGTATATGAAACATAAATGAATTCCATGTTTGGACTTGGGTCCCATCCCCAAGGCATCTCATTATGTATATGCACATATTACAAAATCTGAAAATACCGAAAATCCAAAACGCTTCTGTCCAAGCATTTCAGATATGTTACATACAACCTTTAATGACTGAAGTAACATTAAAAATATCCGGGAAGGGACCTGGCAGGGTGGCTTGTGCCTGTAATCCCAGTACTTTGGGAGGCCAAGATAGGCAGAACTGCTTGAGCCCAGGCGTTCAAG